CATGAAGCTATACAGAAGGGAGTTCTAGGGCAGCCAGGACTACGTAGAGAAACCCTGTCTCCAAAAACCAGACCAAAACAAAACAAACAGACAGACTGTCTTAAAGTGGAGCCAGGAGAGGAGGAAATTCCTGTCCCTTCTGGAAGTGTGTGGCAGTTGCCTTCCAAGTGTTCTGATAAGGGCACTGCTACCCCTGGCCTGGACTTTGAGCTGCATTGTCATCTTTTCTCCTGGGCACGAAACTAAGAAAGGAAAGTAGCAAAGCATCTCCTGATCGTTTGCAGGATTCCTCCTGCCTAAGCAGTTCCCAGAAGTCTGCCTACCTCCTGCTTTTTGGCTCCTGTTAAAGTGAGCTGGCTGAGGCAGGCATTGTGGTTCCAGAGACAGTGCTCCTTGGCCGTCCCCCTGGTATATGCATGTGGGAAGGAAAGTGGTGAGCCAAGTTCAGTCAGGTGGTGTGTGGTAGAGCTGGTTCTCAGATCCCCAGTCTGCAATCCTGTGTAATGTGCCCTCCACTCTGTGACCTCGATTCTGCTTGGTTCCAGGTGTGTCTGAGTGCATCATCATGGGAATCCCGATGAACATAGGAACTGGGCTCTTTAAGCTGCTGCACAAGGCCAACAGGGACCCAAAACCACCCAGGAGGCCCCTGATCTTCGACACAAATGAATTCCACATCCCTCTTGTCACATAGTTTATGGCAGGAGGTCACCATTCCTGACCTTGGCTCCTTGTCCTGTCTGTTGCTGAGTGGAAGAAGTTTGTATCCCTTGAGCAGACGCCTGCATGACCTTAAATGGTACACAGGGCCAGTCAAACACCATGGCCTCAACAGGAACTCCTCGGATGGGGAACTGGGAGTCTACTTGTAACCTGACTTGTGGGGGCTCACGGTGGCTACTCAGCCTGCTGAGTGCCTACTTCACCTCCCTCTGTCCCTGCAGAGGACCCTAACGTGTGCCCACTCCTGCCTGTGAGCCAGGTCTGGGCCCACAGAGGCCAGGGCACACTTCTGATTTCCCCTCCTTTGGCTGGATTTTACACTGATGTACTCATGTAAATACATTACTGTTATTTATTTGTTCTCAGAGAAATAGTGTTTGTTGTTATTTTATTTTGAAACCGGGGACCATTGAACCAAGAAAACCAACTTCAAAGCATTCCTGGAAAAGCAGCTGTTTGAATTTAGCTGCCTGAAAAGCAAAGGAAATAGAAACTTCAGGTTTTCTAGCAATGTGAGTCATTTTTGAAGGGCTCTGTAGCCTGTGACTCTCAAGTGAAGACTGTCCAATGTCATTAACAGTCCTGAGGAAGAAGGGGCGATTCCTCTAAAGTCTCTGTCCTCACACTGGGCAGAGGCCTGGGCAGGGTACCTCTTAGTGGCAGCAACACATTGCTTGTCTGCACCCAGTCCTGTAACAAATCTGGGCCTTGGGCAGGATACCAAGGCACTCATCAGAAATGCAAGTGCCTGAACTCAGAGGGGGGTGGATATCACCTGTGGTTCCATAGCCAACCAGGTTTGGAATGGGTCAGTTTGATTTCATCTCTGGCAAAGGAGGAGGATCTCTGGTGGCTTCTGTCTAGCCCCTTGAAGGGATCAGTGGGGTTGGGCCTCAGACGCTGACACTTGCTGCTGGGGCAACATCACTAAGGGAAAGGCAGAGTTTGTCATAGGCACAGTACTAGGCTAGCAGCAGTGGATATTACTCAGTAGTTCAGATGGTCATACTTACTTTGATTTCATCTCTATGTGGACCTAAGGAAAAGCAAGAGCAGGGTCCTTAATTATTGGATCACTTCATCTGCCCCTCAATCTCCCCAAGATGGTAGGGAGAATGGTAAGTTCTTTTCAATACAAAGGATTAATGCCGGGCGATGGTGGCGCACGCCTTTAATCCCAGCACTCGGGAGGCAGAGGCAGGCAGATCTCTGTGAGTTCGAGACCAGCCTGGTCTACAGAGCTAGTGCCAGGACAGGCTCCAAAGCCACAGAGAAACCCTGTCTAGAAAAACAAGACAAAAAAACAAAGGATTGGTAGGTGAGGTCCTTGGAGGTCGGGTATATTTCTGTTTTAATGTTGAGACAGGGTCTCACGTCGCCCAAGCTGTCTTCACACTGGCTATGCAGGTTCTTCTTGAATTTAGATCATCCTGCTTCCACTTCACAAGGGCTAAGATTACAAGTGGGGCCCCCAAGACCTGAGAAGACAGCACTAGTCATTGAACACAGGACATGTTACAAGTTAGGCAGTCACTCTGCCAACTGAGGTGTGTCTACAGCTGTTGTCTTGATTTTCTCCCAATAGGCACTGTAACTCACAGAGGCCTGTAGCTAACACTGCATTGCTGTCTTTGGTGCAGAGTAGAGAGCACCACACTTAGCCTGGGAGCTTTTTCACTTGGTGGATTCCCTAGTGTTGAAATAAGAGCGGCGGGGCTTCGTCCCCAACACCCCGGCCACTTGGCTAGCTCATGCCCGAAATAACAACACACAAACTGTATTCATTTAAAGACTGCTTGGCCCATGAACTCTAGCCCTTACAGGCTAATTCTCGCACCTGGACTAGCCCATTCCTAATCATCTGTGTAAGCACCCCAAGGTGCGCTTACGGGGAAGATTCTANCTCTGCCAACTGAGGTGTGTCTACAGCTGTTGTCTTGATTTTCTCCCAATAGGCACTGTAACTCACAGAGGCCTGTAGCTAACACTGCATTGCTGTCTTTGGTGCAGAGTGGAGAGTACCACACTCAGCCTGGGAGCTTTTTCACTTGGTGGATTCCCTAGTTCAGTTTCCTCTGCTAATGGATCATCACACATTGGCCAGCACCCTCATGGGGGCATCCCTATGCTGTGGAATCCTGGGGAAACTTTCTAAAGCTAAGCACATGGCTTCCATGACTGTATCCTTAACCTAAATCTCACACTGTAACCAGCTCTGCAGGTTCTCCCTGAACGTGCTTTCTAACACTTGTTCTTGAGGAAGGTGACCTTTCCTCGGTTATGTTCATCTTAGCATAGACCCTCAGTGAGATATTCTTGCTCATATTGATGAACAGAGTGATTTTGAAGAAAGAAAGAGACATTTTCAGCATCTTTTGAAGGAAAAGCTCAGTTCTCAACATGGGAAGTATGGCCTTCCAATCAAGCTAAGGGAACTCTGGGTTTGGAAGGAGGAAGTGCTGAATGGATGTCTCTGTGTTCCCAGAGAGGCTCCTGGATGGGGAAGCTGGGCTTCTGGTCAGTTCAGGACAGCAGGTTAGCAGGGGGACAAATGCAGGTCCCCATGACATCAGCAGTCCCTTCCCCAGATAATTCTACTGTATCCTGGAGAGCTCTTGACATTCCATGTGATGTCACCAGTGTTGTAGCAACACCAACTGCCCTTAGGACATTCCTGGGTGCCCACAGGGTACAGCAGGAGTCATGTTCTCAAGACTGGGGGGTCTAATTAGGAGAGCGGATGGGGAATGTCCAAAGAACAGAGAGAGGCGGGAGGAAGCTGACGCTCAGTTTGGGCGTAAAGCAGGAAGGAATAAATGGTTCTGGCAAAGACGCAGTGAGTCATGGGCAGGAGGTGGGCAGCTAGCTGGAAGAGGGGGATTTGAGGTGGGACTTCCAGTAATGGGACAGAGGACCAGGAGCCTCTCAGTAGCTAATGGACATCCCTGATTACCATAATTCCTGAAGGTCAAGGGTTCCAGAACATTAGTTTGCCCATCTCCTAAGCCAGGGGCTGACCAGGCCAAGGATGTTGTGCTGGGATGACCACTTAGCTGTGACCTTCACTGTGGTTTGGGTTAATATGTGGGGACGGAAGGAGACCACAGGAGGAAGGGAGGGACTGATGTGTCCCCATCTCAGGGAGGCATCACTGCCTCTCACCCTCTGTAGTTTTCTGTAGGTCCAGTCTCTGTCTGACACTAGGCACAAGGGAAGAAAAGTTCTCTGGACAAGACATTGTATACTCAGACTGTACTGCAGAATTCCTCTGAGCACCTCTCCCTGACAGTGGCCCCTAGGGTTCTATGTCAGCAGTTGAGGATGGCAGGCAGTTCTCTAGTGTAGACAAACAACTGCCTGAGGTATGGGAGCAGAGCAGAGACTGGCTGCCTCCTGCCAGCTTCAGTGATCTGGACTGGCAGTGGATGACTTGAGGAGGCCGTTGACCTTGTTGTGCCCCCGCATGGCTTTTCAGTTGACAACCGTGGGCCTGGATTGGCCAGGAAGGATTCTGGGCTCCTCACAGCAGCCAAGTGCTCATGCACTCTGCCGTTATTCTCTGGCTTCTGAAACCCAGGCAGGCTTCAGGGCTCCGGACCACGCTGCATCCTGTGCTGCTGTGAATACTGTGTCTGAAGAAGTGGTTTCTGTTCCCCTGAGCATGCATAGGGAGGCAGAGGAAAGCCCCGGCTGCTTATGTAGCCACATCTCTAGAGCGATGGGAGAGCTGAGGTCCGCAGAGGGAGCATCTCAACCTGGCCCGATATATTTGGGTTGTCACCGGGTTCCAGACATGCCACAGAATGACCTGTCCATCGTCTATGCCTTGTTGCTATGCAATCTCACTTGTTTTTGTTTGTTTGTTTGTTTGTTTTTCAAGACAGGGTTTCTCTGTAGCTTTGGAGTCTGTCCTGGAACTAGCTCTGTAGACCAGGCTGGTCTCGAACTCACAGAGATCTGCCTGCCTCTGCCTCCCGAGTGCTGGGATTAAAGGCGTGCGCCACCACCGCCCGGCTTGCAATCTCACTTGTGTTCCATCTACCCACAGATGATGCTGCGGTGCCATCATCCAAACCATGGCCCCATACCCAGAAACAGATGCAGAAGGAAATAGAGAGGCTGACCAGGGAGCTGCAGCTGATGACCAGCCAAAGAAATGAGCTGCGGGATCACGTGATCTTTATCACGAAAGGAAAGGTGGATGATAGGTATCCATTGTTCCAGACTTCATGGACTGTCAGCAATGTCCCCCTCACCTGCTTTCTTTTAAGGTCTTGGGCTCCACAGTGCCACCTCACCTGAGCTTGTGGGAGCTCATGGGCTCTGGACCAAGAGATGGGAGCCTCCATGGGATGACCTAGGCCCTTGTGTGTGACAGTGTGTAGCTTGATCTCTTAGTAGGGCTCTTATCAGTGAAATCAGGACCCTTGCCTGGAGCTAATCTACCTTTTGGGAACCTGCTTCCCATGTTCGTTTTGCTTGCCTAGATATGACACAAGGCAAAAAGCTCAGCCTGCATTAACTTGACATGCCGTGTTTTGTTCAAGTCCACAGGAGGCCTGCCTGTTTCTGATGGAGACAGAGGAGGAGTGGAAGGGGAGGGAGGTATAGATGGGAAAGGGGACAACTGGGAGGAGAGGAGGGAGGGGTATATGCGATCAGTATATTAAAAAGTGTCGAAAATTCTATTTAAATAAAATAAAAACAAAATTCTGATAAATAAAGGTGTTTGGTTCTAGGAGGCTGCACTTCCTAAGTGACTAACCTCATGTCCTAAATTCTTCTCAGAGGAGAGGCAGCCCCGAAGCTGAGATGGGGACTCTAACAATTCTGCTTCCTCCAAATGAAAACCAGAGCCTGTGGTCTGAGTCACACAGCTCAGGGATTGGGGCAGTAATGTGTATTTCCCAGCATGCATTATCAGGGGATGTGACAGACGGTGGCTTGTGTGAGATACGAGCTGCTGTTAGCTTGTGGTGACTCTTTGGACTTGCTTGGCCGGAGGATGGGTGCTGAGAGCTGCTGGGAGCAGCTGCAGGGGCCTCTTCCTACTCGGTCCATCTCAGCGGAACTGGAAGCCCTGGGGCTCATCACAGTTTCCCTATAGTTTTGTGCATTGTACTCGTTGACAGTACTGCTCCACACATTGCTTTGGCATCTGATTGTGGGTGCTCACCTTCTCTGTGTCTGTATATCTGCCCTTCTCTCTCTGTCATGTGTGTGTGTGTGTGTGTGTGTGTGTGCATACACATATTTGCATGTTTTTCTGTCCCTACAGACTATGGCAGGCAGGGATCAGTGCTGGGACCTAATGATTTCCCTGCCCCAGTTTCTAGGCGATGCCAGTGCAGAGGTCTGGGAGCCGTACTTTATTACTAATGTTGTCTTATGTGCTCACCATAATGGCACCTAAGATTCCCTAATGGAGTTTATATTGCTGTCCTGCTGTTGGGTCTGAAACCCAGAGTTATGTTCTGTCTTACTACTCACTGAGAGTCACCCAGGGTCTAAAATCGCTGTTCTGAAACAGAAGAGATTTCATTGCAATATCTGGTGTTGCTACACCCGTGTTATCACTCATGGTAACACAGAGAGCTCAACTGAGCCCCTAGGCCTACTGCCTGAGCTCATGCAGCTAGGACACCCTACATCTGAGCCAGGCCTCTGCTGACCTAGGGTCAGGATAACAAGAAATAATCACCACAAGGTCCCAGAATGTATCCAGAATGTAGCAACCCCTGGGCTGTGGTAGACCAGGATCCACCTTGAGTTTCCATGATCCTTGAGGCCTGTGTTCATGGGAGTCTTTCCTCCTGTTTTAGGCCCTACCACCCGCCAAATCCCCTGAATGAGAAAGTGAAGCTCCAGCACAAACAGGCCTTGTCGGCACTAAAGCGCCTGGAGGACGAGAACGCCGAGGCCTCAGAAAAGCTGAGTGAGCTGACCAAGGAGACAGTCTTGTATTGGTAAGGGCACATCTTTTTTTTGTTTGTTTGTTTTTGTTTTTTTGAGACAGTGTTTCCCTGTGGCTTTGGATCCTGTCCTGGAACTAGCTCTGTAGACCAGGCTGGTCTTGAACTCACAGAGATCCGCCTGCCTCTGCCTCCCGAGTGCTGGGATTAATGGCGTGCGCCACCATCGCCCGGCGACTTTCTGCTTCTTAGCAAGCAGCTCTGGGACTTGTGTCTCTTGAACTCATTATTGGGAGTGTGAAAGAGACTGTTAGCCCTACCACCATTGTCCTAGAGCCTCTGGAGCCTCTAGATAGCTTTTGCACCATGAGGGAAATGCCAGGCAGCCCTGGGTGTCTGGAGCACAGGCCTAGGCTTTAGAGTTCTGGGGGCTGTGGAACTTGTAGGTAGAATACGCTCACCTTTGGTCACCTGTTCCCTCGTGGAGGGTATTTGCCCTCTACATGGTGATGTTTCCCCATGACTATGGACAGTTAAGGACAGGTGGGGGACTCCTCCTTCTATTGAAGGGCCGTGGATCCTGTTTGGTGTTGGGTTGTCCATAGTAGTTTGATGCTTTCTGGTATTAGCTGCTGTCTCACTTTGGCTTTCTGAGTGCAGCTGTCAAGGCTGTGTCAGACTCTTGGCTACATCTTCCAGGAAACATAAGGCCTTTGGGGGTGCTGGTTTTTGGAGGCAGAGGAGGCAGGAGGAGGCTGGCAAGGGCTTACTATGCAGTGTGTCTCTCCAGTGGTCTCCACAGCTGGGTCCTGATGCAACATAGTCAGCTGGAGAAGAAGGTGGACCTGCTGAGGCAGGAGAAGAAGAAATTGCGGGATGATTGGGTCCTACTGATGCGCCACGTAGAGGACTTGAAAGTGCTCTGTAAGAACCAAGAAGAGAACGGTGACTTCAAAACCCATCAACAACAGGTGGGGCAGGCAAATCTGTCAGGCTACGGTCTGGCCCCATTTGCCCTTCTGACTGCTCTCTGCCCATCCCCACCTGTGCTTTCACCCCCACCTTACTCATTCATGTTCTCATTCAACCACCCACCTCATGATACCAGGTGTTCATTTCAGGGTCCATGCGCAAGTACTTCTGGGAAGTTAGCCTCTTAGGAGAGACTGAGTTATCGCTCTAAGTGCACAGCAATAGCCACCCAGGACCTGGGATTATTCCTGCTGCTCTGTTTGAAGCTGCAGTCCAGTGAAGGAGAAGGGTCAATAACACACCACACACCTACATGGATCTATGATAGGTAGCATTCTATCTACCTATCATAGAGCTTTGAGTGAGTGAGGTCTGGGTCCTGGGCCTCATTTGCTTGGCAGGGCTCATGTGAGATCACAGGTGGGAAGCAGTTTGCAAGGAGGAGATCCCCATGCAAGGCCTGTTGAGTGCCCCTCACTGGCAGGGGTTAGGGTGGCATAGGACCTTCTTTCTTCCTGTGTCCCAGTGAGTTCTCTTCTCTTTGTCCAGCTCTCAATTCCCAGTGCCAGAGCCTGAGTAGCAGCTCCTCAGCCCTGTTGTCTGGGATCAGTGCTGGACAGTTCTCCCATCCAGCAGACTACAGTCTGGGGTTGACTGGATGATCTGCTGGGGGCTTTAACAAGCTGGTGGTCGAACGTGGGAGATTTGGGCCTTCAGGGGAAGAATTTCTCTAACCAGCTCGACATAGTCTGGCCAAGCAAATCACAACCATAGTAGTCCTCAAGAAATGATGGCTGAGTTGTGGGACTGTTCTGAAAGAGCTGGTATGGTTCGTCTAAACCGCTCATCCGCCATGATGTTGCTACAAACTCCATTTCTCCCTCTCTGTTCCTCTTTCTTTAACTCTCAGTTCTTGTGTTGTGTGTATGTGCGTGTGTTTGTGCCTATGTGTGTGTGCCTATGTGTGTGTAGTGTAAGCATATGGGGGTTGTGGTGCATGGCACACGTGTGCATTGGCTAGCAGAGACCACACCGTGTTTCTATTTAGTCTCTGCCTTGAATCAGGCTTCCTTACTTCCCTGGATGTTTACTGTTTTTCCTGCCTGGATGACCAGCAAGCTACTGGGATCCTTTGCATGTGCTTAGATTTGTGTGAGATTGTGTAGTCCTCCACTAAGAACACACTCTTCTAATGAACAGGAACTCCAGGGATTGGTGCAAAGACTTCAGTTCCTGCTGAAGCAGAAGGAAGCAGACACCCAGAAAAAGGACTTAGCAGAAAAGCTGCAGCATCACTTTGAGTTCTTCCAGATGAGGTAGGAGCCCAGACTGGAGGACATGGTACAGCCAAGTGGATCCTCTGTTCCTTGGACCTCTGTCTTTTATAAGTTTCTGCTCCTCTGCTTGGCTCCAAGCTAGAACCACGGGAAGAAGCCCAAAGAGAATTGTGCTGGTGCAGTCTATCCAGGAAATAAGACGTTCGGTCCTCGTGTGTTATTAGAATTGAGTCTCACTTTCTCCCTCTGACCTTTCTCTGTTCGCTGAAGACTTTCCTTGAACTCACAGAAACCTGCCTGCTTCAGCCTCCCCAGGGATGGGATTTAAAGGTGTGCACCACCACACCCTGCTGAAATAACATTTTTATTTAGGAACATCCTGTGTAGGGAAGAGATTCCCACCTTTGAGCAGTGCTCTCTGCAACATTAGCCTATATCCTGTGCGAAGTGTTCTCTGGATAGAATATGTTAAGGATTGTCCAGGATGAACCCAGGCAGATACTTCAGCTACAGGCAAGATCAGAACCTTCTTGGAGTGTGCTGTAACAGACTCCCAAAGAGAGCCAGGATGCAGATTCCCAGCTCTAGTCCTAAGGAAATGCAAGTCTCTGGTCCCAGAGCCCAGGCAGGGCCAGTTTCTCAGCACACATCACAGGAAATGCTGCTAGATCTTGCATGGTGCTCATGTTTATGTTCCCTCTGGGCATGAGGACTGTGCTAACCTCATGACCTTGTCCAGGTGCCCAGATGGCAAGGCTGTATGTATTACTGCTATCAATAAGATGATGTGTTGATCAGTAACTCCTCATCAATACCAGCGTATTGCTCATATACTGTTGGCTATGGTATTTATATCCTGCTGTTGTGTACAAAATGATGTCCCTAACCTGTAGGAGAATGTTCTAGTTTTCAAGTAGAAAGGACAACATACAAGCTCAGTTTAAGTTATGACATGTGTCTAGGACTGAGAAAAGTTCTAGGCCCAGCTACTCTGTGATCCTTTTCCTTTGGGGCTATAGAAATGATATCAGTCCAAAGATCAATGTTGGTTCTCCAGGACACCTGAGGTGTTGGGAGGTAGGAGCCAGACAGTTGACATGGCAGTCCCCTCCTGACCTGTGCTTTAACTGCTATCCTCTCCCAGGTCCAAAACATTCCAGCCTGAGGTGGAAGAGGCCACAGCCCAGAATGAGAGCCACTTGCAGAAGGATCTGCTACAGGAAGAACCACCTGCTGAGCCCCATCCCCAGCAACTACTGAAGTGCAGGGATCAATTTTATTCTTCAAATTTGGATTCCATCGTGGAATAGGCCTTGAGTATGTCTAGCCAGTGACCCAGCATGGCTGCGTCTGGGTCTTGATTCCCTTTCCTTCTTGATAACACCCCCTGAGAGAACTGAGGAAGCCAAAGGGAACCACAGACACCTTGAAACCATCACATTCTTCACATTAGGATCAAGGCCTCCAGACAAAAAGACACCCCTTGTTTCTGTGAACTCACCAGTGAAGGAAATACCAGCTGCCCTCCAGGTGGTCATGCCCAGTCTGATCTGTGTGTCTGTTGACTCAGTTCTCACGAAGAAAAAGCATCAAAACCATGCTTGGGGTAGAGAAAACCAGAGACAAAAATTACTCCAAACGCTACATCTACCAGCAAGTGGCCTCGGCCTTGGGGGGAACCTGACATCTAACAAAGGAGGTATGACTACAGGCATTTTAAAAAGCTGTTCCAATCGGTGTCGGCCTCACTACCATGTCTCTCAGGGAATGCTAATTAGCTTAATTTTTGTTTGGTTTTGTTTAAAATTTTTGCTTTTAGTTGTTTAAGTTTTGGCTTTGTTACTTTGAGTTATCTGTTCTTGTTATTGATTTTCATAATTTGTTAAGAGTGTTATCTAGTGTTTATGTCGAATGCCCTGTTAAAGCCCCCTTTGAGAAAAGAATGCATTTTTTTCTGAGATTTCAAAGTTAATTTATTTCACAAAGGTGAAAATAATCAAAACAAACTCCGAAGCGTTACGTGGCCAGCCCACCACGAGTGACAATATTTGAACTCCAAGCCCAATGGAGTGCTTTCTGGATTGGAACTTTTGTGCAACAGACATACTAAAGCCACAGAAAAGGCAATCTGGCTTTGCAGAGTTGACTCAGGATGGGACTTTTAACAAAGTAACAGACCAGGTTTATAGGTAAATATAGTAGCCCCAAGAAAGAGAAATACCATTCCTAGAGAAATCTGAAGAGCGATTCACTATTGAGAAAGAGCATGGTAGATGTAGTCAATATTTGTCTTGAACGCAATGATGACTTTATGCCCTGTATTTATTCTCTACCCCAATGACTAGTTCCTTGATACATGTTTCAAATATTTTACCATTCAACATTTTATCATAACTGTGTACCATAAATCGTTTATTTTAAAATATATTCTTGCAACTAAAATTTTAATAAATTGTCAAATAACCAATTATATCAATTTTATCTACATTAAATCATAACATTGATGATAATTAATTAAAAGAAAAAGAATGTATTAGTGATCATTGTTATGGATAAATACATAATTTTTCTAAACTAAAATATCTATAGTGGCATAAATGCTATTAAACTTCATAAATTTACAGGAATTTCAAAATAGTGTGTCTCTACTTTATTCAGGTTATAAAAAATTACGTTTAATTCTTTTATTAATTAATTAATTTATTAAAATTTTCCACCTCCTCCCACTTCCCTCCCACTCTACCCAGTCCCCCCTCCTTCTCCAGTCCTAAGAGAAGTCAGGGTGCCCTGCCCTGTGGGAAGTCCAAGGCCCTCCCCACTTCATCCAGGTATAGGAAGGTGAGCCTCCAAACAGACTAGGCTCCCAAAAAGCCAGTACATGAGGTAGAATCAAAACCCAGTGCCATTATCATTGGCTTCTCAGTCAGCCCTCATTCTCAGCCACATTCACAGAGTCCGGTTTGATCACATGCTCGTTCAGTCCCAGTCCAGTGGCCTTGGTGAGCTCCCATTAGATCAGTCCCACCGTCTGGTGGGAATTCTCAACATGGGAATTACTATGGCTTCCAGTCAAGCTAAGGGAACTCTAGATTTGTAAGAAGGAGGTGCTAAATGGCTTCCTCTGAATGGGCCTTCCAGTAATGGGGCAGGATGGCCCTGAACCTGTTTCTCCTGCTTTCTGATGGGGAATCCTAGTCAACCACTGATCTCTAACAGGTGGGACCAGGTTAGGGCGTGACCTTTTGGGTACCCAGAGAAAAAAGCAGGGTGGTCCAGGGTTAGTGCACTCTCTGTCTCTCAATGGTTCCTGTGCTACCCAGCTGAGCTTGAACTTCTTGGTCCTGCTTTGTGAGTTTGCCCCTCATAATAAAGAAAAATATAGTTGGTTAATCTCGTAGTTAGTCTGCTATTTTTCTCTCTGTGTTAATTGCAACAGCTTTCTATGAAAATATCAGCAAATTCTAGATGTTTTCTTCCTGTTGATCACATATATTTTTCTTGTGCATTTCCTGTGATCTGCATATGTGATTTTACCACAAGCTAGGGGACAATAACGGTAACAGCAGTCATCACTTTGTATCTGTGGGTTTGGAAAAGCTTTGTCTCCCGCTACTCCTTAAGCAGAAGAGCATGGCATTTAGGGGTCATGCAGCATCTAGAGATGACTCAGAATACAAGACAGATATGGTTAAATGTGCATGTTACTCTGCTTTATATGGAGGGCTGAGCATTGATCAGAAAGTGTAGTATTTGCATGCTTTTCTGGAACCAAGCCTGCTAGGATACACATTAAATAGTGACCACACCCTTCATCCCAAAGGCAAGCAATGTGCCAGAGGCTGTAGGTACTCACAGCCCGTGTACTTAGCACACTGAAGTTCACAAAACTTGAGTCTAGTTGGTGACTGCACTCATGCTCCACTACCTGCCCCATCAGGAAGCCACGCTTTAGCCTATAATATCCCAAAATCCGCGGCGGCTGTTTCCGCCGCGTCAACAGGCACCGTGGCGTCTTCAAAACTCGCTCTCCCAGCGTCCTTGGCGACTCCGTGAGGGGGTGTTTCCGCTTCTGCCACCTCGATTGTCACCGTGGCATAATCAGGACTCACTCTCCCAGTGTCCTTTGCGGCCCCGGAAGAGGCATTTCCGTTTCCCAAGGAGAGTGTTTCCGCCTCAGAGGCTGCCGTTTCCCGGTGCCGCAGCCGCCGTCGTCGCAGGTTCCCGGTGGCGGAGGAGACGTCCTGGAAGATGTCGTTGAGGTCGTGCGGCCTACAAGGACAGCTAGGATTGTTACACAGGGAAACCCTGTCTCGAAAAACCAAATAAATAAATAAATGATTTTAGAAATATAATGTATAAAATGATAAAAATAACAGGCAGGCCTGGATCCCCGAGCCTTTCTGTTTTAGCAGTTCCTATGGGTTGCTCATCTGCATGTAGGCCTGCGGGTATCATTTGCATATTCATGTGGACGAGTGCTCATTTCGATATTTCATATAGACTGATCTCATTTGCGCATATTCAGATGAATGCTCATTTGAATACACCCATTCACGTACTCGCTCATTTCCATATATTCATATGGAGAGTCATTTGCATATAGCCCTATGGTTGGTGCTCATTTGCATATATCCATATGGGTGCTCCTTCTCGTGTATTCGTGCGGTTGGCCGTTAATTTGCATGTATTCATATGGATGCTCTCATATGTGCATGTGGATGAGTGCTCATTTACATGTATTCTTATCGAGGGAGCTCATTTGTGCACATCCACACGGTGGAGGCGTGTCCTTGCGGGAGGGGAATGTGTCCTTGTGACAGGAGGTGTGTCCTTATTGTAGGGGCTGTGTCTTGAGAGGACGTGCTACCTTACTGGAGGGACAATTTTCCTAGCACAGGGACGTTCCTGCTCCCTGAAGGACTTGCCCCCTCCCTGAAATACACGGGCCGCCTTCCTCAATGACACGCCCCCTGCTTTAAGGACACAACCCCTCCCATAAGAGCACCCACAAGAGCACGCCCATCGCAGAAGAGCACGCCCACTCACACTAGGACGCACCTCTCACAAGGAAAAGCACCCTCCCACAAGGAAGTGCCCCTCCAAACCCACAAGGACACCCCGGACGAATGAGCACACTCTCTCCAAGAAGGACACGCCCTTAACTAAGACAGCCCTCCTCGAAGAACGCCTACCCTCCTCACACAAGGACAAGCCCTATTCCAAGGAACAAGCCCACTACCACAAGAACAAGACCCCTCTAACAAGACAAGACACACACCCTTCCTCAAAAAAAAAAAAAAAAAAAAAAAGAACTCCTTGGGGCTGGGTGAAAACTCCGGAACCAGGCCAGGTAGAACCCAGTGGGGTTTTGTGGCTAGTGGAGGTTGCTTGCTACCCCTCTGGAATCAGGCCAGCGGGAAGTCATACCATGAGGGAGCGTGTCCTTTTGGGAGGAGACTTGTCTCAGGGAGGTGGTGTGGTCTTGTGAGAAGAGTGTGGGGGTATGTCCTTGTGGCAATAGAACATGGTGTATTGGATCTCTGAGCAGTTGAGGGCTGTTTATCGGTTATAGATAAGTTATAACTACAGCATAGGATCTGCCTGGAGAGCTGGGTCCAAGCTTGACTGTGCCGGCTCTTTACAGGTGAGATTTATACTTGTGAAAGACAAAGAAGAAAAAACTGCTTGCAATAGAAGTTGAACAGTAGAACTGACAATAGTGGAGAACGGCTTAATATATTTTAAAGCAGGGCTGAATCACATATCCAGTATTTTTCTGAGAGATTTAAGAGTACATACCAATTTAAAACATGAGACTTATTGTTTTCTTAGTCTGGAATGAGGTACAATTAAAAAGACAATTATAACATTTAACTGTAAGTATATGTACATTTACACCCAGTTGAGATCCTCTTGCCTTGGTGGAAGGGGGAGGTTGGGAGTGGGCGGGGATTGTCCCTTAAAGGGACAGGGTACCCAGGTGACAGACGAGGCCAGCAGATTACACCTGGTCCATATGGAAAGAGAGGTCTTTCTCAGCCAATGAAGGAGGGTAGAGTGATGGACAGTTAAACTGTGGGAGTAAAAGGAATTCCTATTTGCATGAAAAATGGAGCTCAAATAACTAAAATAACTAAAAATAACTTCTCAGGTGTGGCTGTCGATAGCACTACCTGAGATTACCCTAACAAGTTCTAGGCCGGGCGGTGGTGGCGCACACCTTTAATCCCAGCACTCGGGAGGCAGAGGCAGGCGGATCTCTGTGAGTTCGAGGCCAGCCTGGTCTACAAGAGCTAGTTCCGGGATCGGCACCAAAGCTACAGAGAAACCCTGTCTCNAAAAAAAAAAAAAAACAAAAAAAAAAAAAACAAAAAAAAAGCAAGTTCTATATGCCTCAAGCGTCTAGTTTTAAAGGGCAGGAGATTAATGCTACTAGTTCCATAAGTCTGCCGCTCTGTGAGATGTGGGTTACCAGCAAGGACTCTGATTGGGTGCGCTGGCAACAGTGTAGAAGGAAGAAGCCTCGAGGGTTAACTATTACCTCCCAAGGACACGTCATAGACTGGAGTCCTCTTGGCTCCACTCAAGGACAACATTTTCACTCAGAGCTAAGGTGGAAGAAGTGTAATAGAATGGAACTGTGGAAATTGGTGCTTCTGTTAATGAACCTATCCGATGACATGGAGTTGGGATGGCAAGTCCTCTCCTGCAATCTGGCAGTTCGTTTCAGATTAACGTGTGGAAATTGACAAGTGCCTCCCACCCTTTGAAGGCACGGGAAGGAAAATTAAACATTAAGCATAATAAATATAATTTGTCTTTTAGATTAAATCGGAGTCATCCTTTTCTAGTATGTGTACCACCACCTTACTTACCAATAAAAGGGCCTAGACAATGGCACCTTATAAATTAGAGCATCTGTTAGCAACACTGTACCCTTCATACATGCCTTGACTCTAAAACGTTTTTAAACTTACTTCTGAGAATTTATATATTCTCAGAGCAAGGCCAACAATCTGGATACCCATAAAGTTGTCGAGGCCGTGACAAGACTCTCCTGTGACGGCCCTGGTGCAAAAGTTTGCAGAGAGGATATTGAAAAGAACACATCAAATGAATGATTGTGTAGGACCCAGCCACGACAAGCTCAATAGAGGCCTGAGTCTCAGTAGTTTACCCTAAGGCAATACCTGGTTCCAAGAAAGACCACAAACTGAGACCACCCAGGCACCACCCAGGAACAGACAATTCAAAGGAAATTCCTAGTTCCAACCATTGTAGATAGGATCACAGGCCAGCGCTATTCACCAGGACACCCTAGACAAATGTCAGCCAATCAGGGGTCCTGAACCTTAGAAATCCCTCAACCCTACCCTTACTACTATAAAAATCCAACCCTAACTGAGATCGGGGTTCTCCCATCACTCCAATATGTTGGACATACAGAGAGTCTTATTGTTTAGATAAAATGGCACAGTTCCCTGAGGGGCGGCAGGCAGCAAGCCACAAGGGGAAGTGGGTCCCACTACCCAAGGCCTCTGTGGGTCCCAGGCAGGTGGGAGGTGGCAAGTGAGAGACCTTAGCGTGACAGCCAGTTCTATGAGGAGCTGTGGCGGGTGGGAGACAGATAGGCATGCCATGCAGAGAGGGCTTGGATATAGATTATTCAGTAAAAGAGAAGTGGGGGCGGGAGAGAGAAAAGAGACACACAGAGAGAGAGAGAGACAGAGACACAGAAAAAAAGATAGGGAGAGAGAGAGGAGGGGGAAGAAGAGAAGAGGCCTCAGCCACCTCTTCCAAAGAAAGACAGGCAGAGAGAGAGCTCGCAGGCTGGAAGAGGAAGATCTGCTTGCCTCTTAAAGGACAGGACCATTACATTCCCATCTCTTATAATAAAAAGGTGGGAGGTTATGTAATGGAAAAATAAAAATTGTTGCAGATCCCCAAGTAGTTTGCTATGGGATCCTGGTAGGCAGGCAGTGGGCAGGGGGTCCTGAGAGCAGCCAGTCCTAGGCAGGGACTGCGCATGAGACCATGCCGCAGGTCTCCAAAGGAGGTTGGTCCCTGGCAGCGAGCCCTGTGTCCGTGGCAGTGGCCAGGTGAGAGACAGACTGATAGGCACACCTTGCAGAGTGAAGTTGGACACACCTCCTCTCGCAAGAACCCGCCCCTTCCAGAACACACTCCTCCACCCACAAGGACACGCCCCTCTAATGGGAAGAACATGCCCCTCCCACAAGGACACAACCCCACAATGACGTGCTCATTACCACAGGATATGCCCCCTACACAATGTCCCATCAATAAAAGACACATCTCCCCATCATCTTTAAAGGATCTTATGCACTCAGTCAGGACCTTCGCACAAGGTCATGATCCCTCCAAGAAAAGACACATACCCTCAATAAAGAACACAGTCCTCCCACAATGTCATGATTTCTCAATAAAGTACTTGCCTACTCAATAAAGGGGATACCTCCTCATATGAGTACATGCCCCCTTCTTCAAGGACATGCTGCTTCCCACAAGGCTATGCCCCTCATACAAGACCTGCACACCTCCCTAATCCCAACACTAAACCCTTACCCTAAACATAACCCTCACCCTAAACATAACCCTAACCCTAATGCTAACCCTAACCTGTTTTCTATGAAAACTGCTAGGTTTCTTTCAACTATATTAAGCAATAGGATTAGAATAATGAGTTTGCTTTAACGAAACACATTGCATTTTCTAGGAAGAGAACCAAGTTTTCTTTCAACTGTATTAGGCAATGTGGATAGAATAGTGAGGTTGCTTTAAATAAACACATTGCTTTTTCTCAGAAAAATCTTTCAATTGTATTAAGCAATGTGAGGTAGAATAGTGAGTATCCTTTTAAGAATCACACTGGTAAGGAAGAAAGTTTTCCTTCAACTGTATTAACCAATGTGAGTTGAAGAGTGAGTGAGCCTTCTTTGTAGAAATGGATTCTCTTTTCTAAGAAAAAACGAGTTTTCTTTCAACTGTATTAAGGAATATGAGTAGAACATTGAGTTTGCGTTGAAGAAATGCATTGTCTTTTCAAGGAAAAGAGGTGAGGTTCCTTTCCGGTTATGAAGCAACGAGAACAGAATAGTCATTTACTTTGAAGAAACACATTGTCTTTCTAGGAAGAGAAGCAAGTATTCCTTCACCTGTATTTAAGAATGTGGGCAGAACAGTGAGTTTGATTTTTAGAAATGCTTTGTCTTTCCTAGGAAAAGAGATGAGTTTTCCTTCAGTTGTAGTAAGCAATGTGAGTAGAACAGTGAGTTTGATTTGAGGAAACACACTGTCTTTCTAGGAGAGATTTCTTTAAACTGCACCACGCAATGTGAGCAGGATAGTGTGATTGCGTTGAAGAAACCCACTGGATTTTCTATTAAAAGAGGCGAGTTTTCTATCAAT